AGGAGAGGTGGGGCGCCCCGTCTAGGGTTCCCTCCACCTAGCTTGGGGGGGGGCAAGTCACCCTAGGGTTTCCCTAGGGGGCGCCTCCATCTGCCTTGGCCGCCGCCCCCCTAGATGGGATCGAGGAGGTGAAGGCGTCATCAAGTCGTAGGTGTGTTGAACGCGGAGGTGCCGTCCGTTCGGCGCTTGGATCGGGAGATTGCGAGACGGATCATGATTGGATCGCGAAGACGCTCGACTACATCAACCGCGTTTCTTAACGCTTCAGCTTAGCAATCTACAAGGGTATGTAGATGCAATCTCTCCTCCCGTAGATGTTCATCTCCTAGATTGATCTTGGTGAACGTAGGAATTTCTTTGTTTCCCATGCAGCGTTCCCCAACAAATACTAGTGTTGGGCTTACAAGCATTTATAGTACTATTAGGCCCGATGAAAGATGAGTAAGGCCTAGATGGTAATAATATGGTGGAGGTCAGACAACAAAACATATCAAAGCGGTACACCGGTAAACCGGATGTCGTAGAACATTTTAGAAAAATCTATAAAAAATCTAGCACATTGACACAACATCAATATATATTGTGACAAAATTTCGTATCAAATTTGAAACATTTCTTCAGATACAAAAATAAGAAATTTGACATCAAGGTGGTAATGGGCCAAATCTAAAGCCCAATTTTATGTTATGTACTATTCAATGTTGAATTTTCAAAAAAAATAGAGCTATGTTTCAAATTTTGACTTGAAACTTTGTGGCAACCTATATTGATGTTGTGTGAATGTCCTAATTATTTCTAGATTTTTTTTGAACATTTTAAAATGTGCAACGTGAGATTGGTGCATCGGTAGCACTACACGCATCGGTGCACCATATATTCTTCTGGTTTAGCCGAGTGAAACTGCTGAATTGGTACAACCACAACACAAATGATATGTTTCTCTTATAGCAACACATATGATAGTGCTCGCTCACCACATGCATTCGTGGCAGGCCGACCCATTAGCGAGAGTGGGAGGTGCTGTAGCGGTTTTGGGTAGTTATTCCGTTGGTTTTGGAAGCTTATATCGTTTTCCTTCTTTGTATTGCTGTGCTGGTTTTCTAGGTATCTTGCCAGTTTTTTATTTATTGTATTTCTTTTTTTGTTCTTTATTTTTCTTTTTGTTCATTTTTATTGTATGTCTTTCTTTTTCCTTTTCTTAAAAACTCAAACATTTTTTAAAATTTCCGAATATTTTTTAAGTTCTTGAACTTGTTTTAAATTCATGAACTTTGATGGTGTAACGACCCAAGGGTGCGTCACCTTGTCGGTTTCCAACCCAATTAGGGCGGCCCGAGGCCCCTAGGTTGTTTCCGCCCTGAGGCATCACGTTGGCCCATGAGCTGTATGAAATGAAGACTTTGAAGCCCTGATGCTCAAGACCAGGAAGCCGGATTCGTGGAGAACTCTCTCCATCGCTGTAGGTTATACCTGGCCATGGGCCGCGCCGGGCCGGGCTTGGGCCGGGCATGAAAAAGCCCACGGCAGAAAATTGAGTCCCATGCCATCCCAGGCCCTACCATCGGGCCTACTTTTCAAGCCCAAGCCCAGCCCATCTGGTAAAAGCCCTGAAAAGCCCTTAGGGCTTAGGGCCGTGGGCCAGGCCTCTTCCCTAAAATGCCAATATGCCAAGCCCAAGCCCGTCTAGGCCCTGCTGGTGGGCTCAAAACTCAGGCCCAAGCTCGGCCCACAGGCAAGCCCATTGGGCCTAGGCCCTGGATTTTAGGGCCGGGCCTGGGTGGGCCGACAAGGCCGGGCCGGAAATGGCCAGGACTACTGTATGTGGCTAGGTTGTGTAACCCTAGTGGCCCCGTATCTTATATAAACGGGGGCAAGGTGGTCGATAAAGCACATTAAAATCGCTCAGTATTATGTGTACATTGTACACCCCAATCGCAATATACACGAGCAAGAGTAGTGATTCACCTCGTAAGGAGATCTGAACCTGCGTAAATCTGTCTCTTGTTTCCCCTCTGATCAAATCGCCACGCCGGGATACCCTTACGAGGGATCTATCGAAATCTTTTCCGACAAACCTTTTTCAAATTCATGTTTTTTTTTGAATCAGCAATCATTTTTAAATTCATGAAGCATTTTTTATTCATGATTTTTTGAATTCATGGACATTTTCAAATTGTGTTTTTTTGAATCCGTGATTTCTTGAATTCACGGGTATTCAAAAAAAATTGCAAACATTTTCAAATTCGTGAACATATAGATCGTTTGCTAAGGCAATAGCCTCTCCGATCGGCGCTGCACTTGGAGTCCATCCTCCCGCGCCTGACCACACTCTCACACTACAAGCAGTTCCACGCGCAGCTCATCGCATCGGCCCGCCTGTACTTCGAAGTTCGAACCCTCCCTCCGAGCCCGCTTCCTCGACCGCCTCGCGCTCTCCGCGCACGCCACCGCGCTGCCGCACGCCCTCCTCCTCCTCCGCTCCCTCCCCTCCCCTGCCACCAACGACCTCAACGCCGCCCTCCGTGGCCTCGCCGCCTCCTCGCACCCCGCGCGCTCGCTGCTCCTCCTCGCCGACCGCCCCTCGCCATCCCCGCCGCGGCCCCGCCTCGACGCGCTCTCCCTCTCCTTCGCGCTGAAGGCCTCCGCCCGGTGCTCCGACGGGCCCGCCACCCTGCAGCTCCACGCGCTCGTCCTCCGTCTCGGCTGCACGGCCGACGTCCGGCTGATCACCGCGCTGCTCGACCCCTATGCGAAATGCGACGACCTCGCGTCCGCACGGAAGGTGTTCGACGAAATGACCGTGCGCGACGTTGCCTCGTGGAATGCGCTGCTTGCTGGGCTGGCTCAGGGGACTGAGCCTAGCCTGGCCCTGAGGCTGTTCCACAGACTGGTAGGGAGCTTCGGGGAGTTGCCACCAAGGGAGGAACCCAATGAGGTGACCATCATTGCGGCGCTTTCTGCGTGCGCACATATTGGCTCGTTACAGGACGGATTGCATGTACTGATCGTCGTGTTTGCGATGCGCTGATCGACATGTACTCCAAGTGCGGTTCATTGGCCCAGGCGCTGGAAGTGTTCCACTCCATCAAACGAGAAGACCGGAAACTTGTGTCACACAATACTGCGATACAAGCAATTTCCATGCATGGGCATGGGGGCGATGCACTGAAGTTGTTTGATGAAATGCCGACATGTATTGAGCCGGACGAAGTGACTTACATCGCTGTTTTGTGCGGATGCAACCATGCTGGGCTTGTGGACGACGGCCTTAGGGTTTTTCACGGCATGAGGGTTCCTCCTAATGTAAAGCACTATGGCACTGTTGTGGACCTTCTTGGCCGTGCAGGCCGCCTTGCTGAGGCATATGGTACCATTAAGTCTATGCCGTTTCCGGTAGATATTGTCCTCTGGCAGACATTGCTGGGTGCGTCCAAGACGCATGGTGATCTTGAGCTCGCGGAGCTAGCTGCTACAAAGCTTGCTGAGCTTGGTTCAAATGTTGATGGTGACTATGTGCTCCTCTCCAATGTATATGTGTCCAAGGCACGGTGGGCAGATGTTGGTCGAGTCCGTGATACCATGCGAAGCAATGATGTGCGGAAAGTACCTGGTTTCAGCTACACAGAGATAAGTGGTGTAATGCATAAGTTCATTAATGGTGATAAAGAGCACCCAAGGTTGCAGGAGATTTACAGAGCGCTAGAGGAAATTATGTCAAGAATAGGTGAGCTGGGATATGAGCCGGAAACAAGCAATGTGCTTCATGACATCGGGGAGGAGGAGAAGCAGTATGCACTGTCCTATCATAGCGAAAAACTGGCCATTGCATTTGGGTTGATTGCCACACCACCCGGGGAGACCCTGCGGGTGATAAAAAAATCTGCGTATCTGTGGGGACTGTCATGTAGTGGCAAAGCTAATATCTAAAGCCTATGGCCGAGTGATTATCATCCGGGATAGAGCAAGATTCCATTGGTTTGAAGATGAGCAGTGCTCTTGCAGCGATTACTGGTAAAATACTGGTGTGTTTGGTGATTTACAGGGGCTGATGGAGTTGATAACGAGCCACTGACTTCACAGGATCAACAGACTGCAGATTCAACTTCCATTTGAGAAGAATCTTGCAAGTGAACTCAACCCCACTAGCTTGAACTTTACTCTGTGCTTGTGATACTACATTAGTGTTCACAATCCATCAAAGTGTATGATCACTGAGAGGCCATCAGATATTACACCTACAAGATGTAAACAGATAATAGCTTTGCACTAGTGTTATTCTAGTGTGCTATTAGAGCGAGCAATCAGGTGTGTGTGGGATAGGGGTCATGATATTTTTCCGTTCTGGGAGCCCAGAGAAATTTTCGTATTTGCGGAAAATATTTTCCTTTACATTGCTTTCTTGTTCCTCCCAACAATCTTACAGTGCCATACTATACTCATGGTTCTTATTTATATTAAATGTCCATTGACTTCATCTGATATCAAAATGTCCAACCTTTTGAGGATGCAATTATTTTACAAAGTCTTTGTGTCTGCAGAATAAGTCTTCACACTCTTTTTTGTGGAAGACTGTCTGCCATAAGACTATAGTGTTTAATGGAGTCAAAATAGCTTCAGGTTGTTATGAACACAACCTTTTGCTCCTTTCTCCATTTTGCTCTGTACAGTCGTGGCTGCACAGTTTTAAAAACACATAATGTTTCTCAGAAATGTCACTGTTGACATGTCATTTTTTAAACCAAATTTATTAGCAGCAGATACAAATTTATTAACACCCACAAGATATTGTTTTCTTTGAATATTTCTGGAGATTTAAGTTTATCAAGGAACCTCTTTCCTCTTATCGCAAAAAAAAGAATCCAACCTCCTTCCTTGACTTATTTTTCCTATGTATGTTCCAACTGCTTTCAGTATGCACTTTGTTTGATTGTCCCTTTCATCCAAGCATGAATCGCATTTTTCGTGTCTCATAGTTTGGTCTTGTTTTCAATAACTTTTTCCATGCTGATACGTCCAGAAACTCTTTGCAGCACTTTGTAGACGGCTAATTCAATTCAAAGATGCCGCTGGTGAGGCATTCATTGTTTTATCGTTGGCTGCACAAAGACAGCCTTAAGGAAGAATGGGAGGAATTCATTGAGAAATGAGTAGATCTGTAGATATGATGCGTCCAACCAGAAGCATTCTGCTATTGTAAAGGTAAGCCAGCTATTCCATGTATTACGATAGTTCCATTTCGCTTGTGAATGTGAATCGAGTCAGCCATACTCTATGGATAAAGTAATGAAGTTTATCATGTATTTGTATTCCTTCATGGAAACAACATGAACACAAACTGTTCATTTAAGAAGCTATGCACATTCGTACTGAATTTCTTTCTGTGTACTGTATTTATCTATGCAAATTCAGATAGTGTTTGGACATTTGATAATATCAGAACTAATGTTGCATGGGGCTGGATTACTCTTGCAGTGGGGGAGAATAGAGGTTAAAGTGGCAAGAATGAAATGAATGTGAGGAAAGGATGATCACTTTCAAAGCTTCAACATTCAGAGTTAATGCAAAGCCTCTGGTCTACCATGCTTCTGCTCTTTCTCTGAAGTCTTGGTTGTCCAGAAATGGCGCAACCGAAATGCTTTCAAAGACATTCTGATGCGATCATCCTAGGTAATATTTCTGTTCCACCATTAGTGCCAAGTAAGATACCTTCCAAACGAGACCTTGATTGTGAGAAAAATATGCCAAAATATATGGTGCCTGCTTTACGTCAAAGGAAGATGTTGCACTCAACAAATCAAAGAGGTATATTAGGCTCCATGCCTTGCTCACGTACTAACCAGGGAAGTCAAAAGTCAGATATTTTATTCAAGACTCCAAGGATCACCACGGTTATGATTGGTGACATGCCTATTAAGCTAATTTCTTTGGATGAAGCGGAGCCTTGCTTTAGAATGCCATGCAGTACGAGACTCGTGCCGTCTAGAGTAGCACCAAATTATTTTGGTAGAGCTTAACTAAGGAAACATGAGTCTTTGTAATGGAAATCACGTGTGCCAATAAACACACAGATATCCTATTTTTAATTGGAGTCTTTTTTATAGGAATAATTTTTTTGATAGAGTCAAGTTTAGATACGTCTGTCGAGTCCGTAGCTCAGGTGCGCCCTATATAACGGGGAGGCTTCGTCCAATGTCAGGTTAGGTTATATATATCTTTGGTCTTTCTAGCCCTAACTCCTACGATCATACCTTCCTCCACAAATTATTTCCTCTACAAATATTTAGTTGTTTGCACGAGTGAAAGATCAGGGCCACCCCATAAAATCGTCTCAAAGCAATTTGAGTCGTATCACGTTCACATGGATCGAGTGCCACCTATCGCTTTGGGTTGCCAGAGCTCCCCATTGGCTCTTAACTAGACCGCTTAACATCTACCATAATCAACATAGGTGTCGTCAATTTTAAGCTTATCCCCTGTCACCACGGAAATGCAAAGGAGCGCTCGTCCTCGCCTGGTCACGGTATCCTCTACCGTTCCTTTGTCATCTGGATTAGACATATTGTAAGTTTGTGGAGCAGAGCTTGATTTAATGTTGCACCGAGTTGGCCCAGATGGAACCATAACTTCGTCGCTGTGGTGCTGGACCTGACGGCCAGCTCCGTCTTGTACCCGTGGCCCAGTTCCACCCTAGGGGAAGGATCTCGTCATGCACCATCCGTTAGTTATGAACGAGCTGGAGCTATAGCTGGAGCTTGGAGGGGCCATTGCTCGCCTGGTCGTCTATGCCCATCACGATGGTAGCTCTTATTTTTATTTTATTTTTGTGGGGGTGATGGTAGCTCTTATATGCATGAAACAACACAGCAGTTCATCTGTCTGCCGCTTTTCCCTCCCAATGAGGTTCGAAAAATCAAACATTTGAATTCCAATCTACGTACTTCCCACTCTCCTGTCCAGCCCAATGCAACAAGTGGAACCATCAACCATGGATCCTTGGACGATTTTTGTGAAAACCAGTCCCACAATTGGAAGAAAATTAACGTCCTGAAAGATAGCACAACAGAAGAAAAAAAAATAGGCGAGTTTGCATTCCCAGATTTCTTTCCCAAGACTGCCAGGAAGCAAATAATTTTCTAAATTTTCCATTTGCACACTACAAAATTTTCTAAACGTGCCATTATCAAGAAAACATTTCTTTTCTTAAAGTTGCCATCAGACCATGCCAATTTCTGTAATGCATGTGTTTTTTTGGGCATTGTACCGTGGTAACTTAAAAATATATTGCCATGGAAACTTAAATCACACGCTAGTTAGTATTTTAGAGCATGACATTTTTATCTTTTGGGGCATAGTAACAATTTTGCTATTTTATGGCATGACAATTTTATTGTTTAGATCATGACAAACATTTTTCAGTTTTGCATGATTTTTAGCAACAACTTAAAACTTCGGTGACATGGCAACTTGGTTTCTATTGCCATGGAACTTAAATTACACGGCCATGTCAAGTTAAAATACATTGCCTTGTACTGGACCATGGCAATTTCCTGTAGTTTTATTTTAGATTACTATGCAATGTTTGCTGTATACGTATTTTTATTCTGTTCTGGGCCATGTCAAATTCATGTAGAGGGTTGTTCTTTTTTAGTTACTATGTCAGTTTGTCGCATACACATTTTCCATTTTCTGTGGTGAACCATGGCATTTTTTGTCGGTTACTTCATTTCATAAAACATAATTTTTGTTTTTCGATTTTGCCATGTGAACAGTACAGTTTTTTTTTAATAAATATTCCATGTGACGATGATACCATTTTTTTAGCGTATGTAATTTTTGGTATTTGGACTATGGCACTTTCATTGTATATACCATAAAAAATTTATTTAACATGGCACGATCAAATTATTTGTGGATACCCTGGCAAATTTATATTACATCGTCCGCGGTAGCCGATGACAACGAGGAAGGGAAAAGGGCCAAAAAACCATGGCGGAGGTAGTACTAAATATGCAATGATCTTTTGAACACGAAGAACATTTTTTAACAGACATGTAAAAGTATTTATTGAGTACACATGAACTTTTTCTACATCCACAAACATTTCCTTGATGTACATGAACATTTATATTTTTTAGCACGTGTATTTTACCCAAAAGAATAGACAAACTGAAAATAAAATGTAAATACAACCGGATAAAGATAATAATAGAGCGTTCTCTCCACAAGATCTTTTACAAACTGCGTTGCTAGCTTTTTCTGCTTAGATTAGAGGAAGTGGGTTACTAGCCTTCGTTTTACTCTTTTTTTTTTGTGGTGGCCTTCGTTTTACTCACGAAAAGAAAAATACAGTACTACTCACGAACAGCCCACTGAGATGTCCGTTCCACTGACGTCTTCGTCAGCTCTCCGTTACGGCGCCTGCACAGGCCGTCGTTTCCACGTACGGCCCCACACCTGTATGCATGCGTTTTCTGCTGTGCAAACTCACCTGCGTCTCTGCGAGCAGTAAATGCCATCTCCAGCATCGCGCTGTCTCATTGGTCCACAAAGCAGGAGCAGGCGAGCTCGTCCACCATATCGCCACTCTCCCTGTCACCAGGGCTACTGGTTATGCAGTGCATTCTGCCCTTGTGTATTCAGTTATGAAGAAATTGTAAAAGTACGTTAAATGAAGTTTGGGGTCTTATGTTACTGGGCTGAAACCATCTGTCCCTGAAAGCTAATGCAGCTCCTCTACTTCAATGGAAGAGAGCCTGGAGCATGTTGACCACATCAGATGTGCATCAAGTTTGAGTTCATGACACTAAACCTGATAAGATCCTGCAAATTCTACAGAGAGAAATGTTTGGCTGGACCATGGACCTCCGCGGGCAGCGAATGTTTGATGCTTATTCAGGTTATGTGCCGCTACACCGTTCTTCCCCACC